GGGGTGGGGTGGGGTGCTGGCATTGCCTTCTGAAGGGGACAGTAGCCCCTCCCAGCGAGCCCGGGAAGTCTGTCCCCAGTATGGTGAGAACATCCCCCTCCCCTCCAAAAGCCCGCACTGACAAGCAGCACCAGTCTGTTCCCCGCAAGCTTGGAGGCAAAGCCAGCTGACTGACCCGCTATGAGCCGAGGCGGACCCCTGGCCAAACTGGGGGTTCCCCCAGGCCCTCTGGGGAAAGCAGCTGAAGGCCTGGGGCAGGATACAAGTGAGGCCCTTTGAGAGAGACCCTGAGCTGGGTCCTCTGTGAGCTGGCCTGGCCTTCCCACTGCTCCCTCCAGCTCTGCTGGGGGCCTGAGACCCTCGGCCAAGCTGGCAGGGGCTCAGGGCGTCACCCAGCCCAACCCCTGCTTTGTTCAGGGGCAAATGGAGGCTTAGGGCATCTGGCCCAAGCTCATGCCACCATTGCCCCCGTTGTGGCATTTCTGCTGTCGATACAAGGTCCCCTCTCTGTCACCATTGCCCTCATGACCACTACTGCTGTTATCAGTGACTGAACCCCCTAATCAGGAAGATCTCCTTCTCATTCAGTTATCTCTCGAGGGCCCCACCCGGAGACTAACGTCTCGTGTGTTTGGTGGCCTCAGTCACCTTAGCAGGGGTGACCGGGGGCCCTTGGTGGTGGAGTGGTGACACACCGGCCTGCTAGCCGCAAGCTCAGCAGTTTGAGACCACCAGCCGCTCCCTCCACGGAAGGAAGCCGAGGCTTTCCGCTCCCGTAAAGAGTCACAGCCCGGGGAACCCGCAGGGGCAGTTCTTCCCTGCCCCATGGGTCGCTGTGCCCACGTGGGCACAGCCTCCTAGCACTGAGTTGTTTGGGAGCAGCCGTGGCGGGAAGTAGCTGGTGGATGTGGAGTGCCTGGCAGAAGAACCGAGGTTCGGGAGGGACCCAGGAGATTTGTTTTTTTTGTTTTGTTTTTTTAACTTTTTTTTTTCTTTTTTAACATTTTATTAGGGGCTCATACAACTGTTATCCCAATCCATACACACATCAATTGTGTAAAGCGCATTTGTACATCATTTCTCAAAACATTTTCTCTCCATTTAAACCCCCGACATTAGGTCCTCATTTTTCCCCTCCCTCCCCGCTCCCCCCTCCCGCATGAGCCCTTGATAGTTCATAAATGGGTATTTTGTCATATCTTGCGCAGTCCGACGTCTCCCTTCACCCACTTTTCGGTTGTCTGTCCCCCAGGGAGGAGGTCACACACAGTTCCATGTAATCGGTTCCCTCTTTCCTACCCATTCTCCCTTTACCCTCCTGTTTTGCCACTCACACCACTGGTCCTATAGGGCTCATCCATCCTGGATTCCCTGTATTTTCAGTTCCTATCTGTACCAGTGTACCTCCTCTGGTCCAGCCAGTCTTGCAAGATAGAATTCGAGTCATGGTAGTGGGAGCGGGGAGGAAACCTTTAGGAACTAGAGGAAGATTGTATTTCTCATCAGACCCAGGAGATTTGTGTGGGGCCTCCGTATCTGGAAATGGGTCTCCTGCCACCAACCTCCCCCCACCCCCACCCTCTGTTCTTTGTTCTCCCCCCTCCCAGATCTATTACCATGGAGAGCCCATCAGCGTCAATGTGCACGTCACCAACAACACCAACAAGACCGTGAAGAAGATCAAGATTTCGGGTACAGGGGGAGGCTCGGGGGCAGGCTAAAGGACATCTTCCCTTGGGCGGGGGTGGGTGGGTGACAGGTCGAGGGACTCTCTCTTTAACAGCCTTATAAATGTCCACTGATCCAAGGGGGAAGCCTTCTCTGAGCCCAGGGGTCGGGCTTTTGAGGTAGTGACCACAGGTAAGCCGCCTCTGTGCTCAGGTGCCCTGGGCCGGGCAGAGCTGGCCTCAGGGTTATGGGAGGGGACAGGTATGTGTGGGATTGCCCTCTGAGTAGGGCACAGTGGGCAGGGCGGGCTCCTTCCACAGCCCCCCACGATGCCTGGCCAGCTCCTGGGCCTGAACCTCTCCACCTGGGGAAGCCCAGGCCACTCTGGGAGAGGCGTCCAGGCTCATGCTGGGCCCCTGTCTCACCCCAGTTCGCCAGTACGCAGACATCTGCCTGTTCAACACAGCCCAGTACAAGTGCCCGGTGGCCATGGAGGAGGCTGAGTAAGTGAGCTGGAGTGGGAGCCTGGCCTTGGGCCCCTGGGCGGTGTCTGAGGCTGGTGGGGACGGGGTGGAGGGAGGAGGGGGCGAGCGAAGACTGCGGGCCTCTGTCTTCCTCCCTGCTCAGCGATGGCTTCTCAGAAAGCACCCATCTGATTTAGCTGTCAGGAAACACAGGCTACCATCGGGTGGGGAGGGGGACGACCCATTAAAAGTAGCCAGACAGAACCAGAGCGAAGGCATTGGACCTGTGGTCAGGAGAGAGGCCAGTCCCTGCAGAAGGACATCGTGCTTGGTAAAGTGGAGGGGCAGTGAGAAAGAGCAAGGCCTTCAGGAGAGTGTTGGCACAGTGGCCACAACAGTGGGCTTAGCCCTGGGCACGGTGGGAGGACGGCAGGACCGGGCAGTGTGCCGTTCCGCTGTGCGGAGGGTCGCCAAGGGCCCCTCACAGCAGCATGGTGTGGAGGAGGAAGAGGATGAGGATGGAGATGGTACCAGAAACTAGGTTGATGTAGACTCTGTTCTGCCCCTCCGCGGGCACATAGCCTTGCTTGTCTGATAGAGGAGTTGCTGAGTAACGGGTTCCCCAATAACAGAGCGGGGAGAGGAGAGAAGAATGAGACAAACAATGTTTCCGTTCGAGGAGAGCTGCTACCGTTGAACCCCAGGTTTTACTTCCAGCTCTTCCGCACTGAGAGCAACTGGAAACATGTGGAGGGAAGCCGCTTTCCGTAGCTCCAGGAAGGAGACAGACACACTTTTTGGGGGTGGGTAGAGGGTGTAGCGTGAGGTCTGGTCCTGTAAATAATTCGGGGAGAGGGCAACTGCATTTCAGGCCTGTGTGCGTGTGCTGCTTTGCACCATCACAGTCGCTGCCCGGCCTGGACAATGGTCCTCACTTGTCTGAGAGATGAACATAAGGGGTCCGGGGGGTGGAGGGCACCACGAGGGAAGCCCCGGGCGGCTAAACACCGAGTCAGTGGGCCAGGTGTCCTGGCTGGGCTGCTGCCGGCTGTGGGGAAGGCAGAGTCACGCCTGTCTCCTTTCTCCCCCAGCGACACCGTGGCCCCCAGCTCGACGTTCTGCAAGGTCTACACGCTGACCCCCTTCCTGGCCAACAACCGAGAGAAGCGGGGCCTCGCCCTGGATGGGAAGCTGAAACACGAGGACACCAACCTGGCCTCCAGCACCCTGTGAGGACCTGCCCTCGCCACCGCCCGGCCCCCCGGGGCTGCCAGTCCCAGCTTCCCCACAGGGACACGGCTCCAGCCAGGTCATGCCCAGTGCCGTCCAAGGCCTGCCCTCAGCGGCTTTGACTTCCAGGGGGCGATCCCTGTACTCCCACCCCAGGGTGACCCAGAGGACAAGGAGGACCACAAGGGTGCTGCTGCTTTTCCCAGAAATCCTTCTGTTCCTTAGTGCTTCCAATCAGATGGACAGTCCGTGAGGCAGGCTGGCCAGGGGGCTGTGGCTCCCTTCCCAGACGGTCCTGGGAAGGAGGCGTCAGGAAGGGCGTGGGCATGTGGAGAGACGAGGGCTGTGAGCCAGGCCAGTCAAATGCTGGGTGCACATTGGAGGCAGGGATCCTGGTCATCTGGTCACCCGGCTCCAGCCCTCACTGACTATCTCTGAGGCCACCTGCCCACACCGCCACCAGTTGGGGGGAATGCGTCTCCCCATAGCCCTGAGCTGTGGCCCTTCATCAGGGCTTCGGCCCGTCTCTGCTGTGGCTTCCTTTGCCCACACTCCCGACAGCCTCTGCTGTGGCCACACAAGTTCCAGCTACCTGCTCCACCAGCTGCTCACCTACCTCCAAGCCTTCTTGTCCTTCCCAGGGCTCACACCCTCTGTGTCTTCAAGACCCAGTTTAAGCGCCACCTCCAGAGAGAAGTCTTCCCTGAGGGCCCCACCCCCCACCCCGCTTGCCTGCTCTGGCTCTGAGCTCCTTCCGGCCCTTGGTGCCTGGCTACGACCCAGCAACCTCTTCAAGAGAAGCAGGAGCCAGAGGAGGAAGGGCCAGCTTTCATGGAACAGAGAGGGGCAGGGCTTCCCAAGACCTCGCAGTGAGGGGATGCCACAGCCAGGGTTGGCAGCCAGGCTCCTGGAGGGCAGAGCCACCATGGTCACCTCCACTGGGCCTGGGGCAGGCCACAGCCTGGGCTCTGCCTAGACCCAGTGGCTGAGTGGCCCAGGAGAGGGAGGAGCAGGGGAGGCTGCAGCCCCCCTTCTGCCAGATCTCACCACTGTGGAGACCCCATTAACCAGCTTCCCAACCGTTACTTTGCAGGCTGAGGGAAGGGGCCAACCGGGAGATCCTGGGCATCATTGTCTCCTACAAGGTGAAAGTGAAGCTGGTGGTGTCTCGAGGCGGGTGAGTGCGCAGCCCAGCCCCCAACCCTGGGGACCCCATCCCCCACCTGGCCGCCTCAACCCCTGCCTGGCCCCACTCTGCCTGTTTGTGGGACCTCTGAGCTGCATCCTCCTTGGAGATGAATGGGCGGAGGATGTCATGTCCCTCCTCCTCCTCCTCCTCCTCCTCCTTCTCCCCTCCTGCTCTAACACCCTCCTTGGCTCTCATTCAGAGAGACCCCACCCCCGTCTCCCCTCCACCCTGTCCTCATCGGGTCCTTGCATAGCAGACATGGCATGGGAGTGGGTTTCCTTAGGGTGCCCCTCATGATACCTCCCCAGACATGGCACCCATCCACTGCTAGGGCAGGACAGGGGCCGGTGCTGGGAGCGTAAAGGAGCTCAGAACCCCAGAATTGGATGGGGTCACATTCTAGGCTGACTCTTCCATTTTACAGATTGGGGAACAGCGACCCAAACAGTTCCCATGATCCTTTCCCAATATCTCCTCCCCTAAAGACAAGCTTTCTCCTCCAGTAAAGAGCTACAGTCCTGGAAACCCACAGAGGTGGTTCTACTCTGTCATATAGGGTCGCTACAGGTCGGAACCGACCCTATAGCAGTGATTGTGTGTAATCCTGGCTACGGGCTGGGGGCAGAGAGAATTCAGAAATGGACTGGACATAACGTGCGGACCACAGGCGACTGCCTTCAAGATCTGCAGCCTTGGGAGCCCTGGGGGGCTGTTCTACCCTGTCCTGGGGGTGGGTGGGTGGGTTACTAAGAGTTAGAATGGACGCACTGGCAGCGGGCTTTGTTAGTCTGGAAGGGGCTCAGAAAAAGCTCCACATTTCCCCCTAAACCACCCAAACCCAAACTCATGGCTATTGAGCCACTTCTGACTCCTAGCGACGGCAGGGGGCCAAGGAGGCCTGCCCCTTTGGGTGTTCAACAATGTCAATGATTTTTGTTTCTTTTAAAAAAAACATTTTATTGGGGGCTCGTACAACTCTTATCACAATCCATCCATCCATTGTGTCAAGCACATTTGTACATATGTTGCCACCATCATTCTCAAGACATTTGCTTTCTACTTGAGCCCTTGGTATCAGTTCCTCATTTTCCCCCTCCCTCCCCATTTCCCCCTCCCTCCCTCATGAACCCTTGATAATTTATAAATTATTATTTTGTCATATCTTACACCATCCAACGTGTCCCTTCACCCACTTCTCTGTTGTCCGTCCCCCAGAGAGGAGGTTATATGTAGATCCTTGTGATCGGTTTCCCCTTTCTCCCCCACTTCAACAATGTCAGTCTTTATGGGAGCAGAACGCTTCAACTTTCGCTCACAGAGAAGTTGGGGGAGGAGCGTTCGAGCTGCTGGTCTTTTGGTGGGCAGGCCCAGGCCTAACCCACTCTGCCACCACCGGGGGCATCTCACTTCCCCATAGGTTGGGCCTTAGATTGAACAGTTCAGTAACAATAGCACGGAGTCCTTTGATCCGTGGATCATGCCTCGCGCAGGAGGCGGTCTGGAATGCTGGCCTCGGACAGCTCGGCTGTTTATCCAAAGGCCAACAGGGGGAACCCACCAGCAGCCCCCTTGGCAGAAGCCGGGGCAGTCTGCTTCATGCACACGGGCAGTTCTACTCAGTCCTCTAGGTCCTTAGGAGTGGGAATTGACGGGTGGCAACAAGTTTGGTTTTTATTTTAGGACATCTCCACGTGGCAGATCCTCAGGCCCCGGTCCTGTGATCCTTACAAACCCACACTCTTCTTGACGGGCTCCACTGAAGTCCCAGGGGCAGCCAGCAGGGGGCTTCGTTTTTGTGCCTTTTTTTGGCGCTAAGGGCTGTGAACCATAAGGCCGGTGGTTCAAACCCACCAGCCATTCCTAGAGAGCGAGTTGAGTTGCCCCCAGAATGATCTGTAGCCTCAGAAACCCTCAATAGGAGTTGGAATCGACTCAGTGTCAGGGATTCCTTTTCAGGTTTGCAGATGAGGACCCTCCAGGCCTCCTGGGTGGTGGGTGGAGGAGGTGTTGGCCCCAGGGTCCTGCAGACCAGTGGGTGAGCAGATGGCACTGCACGGGTGGTGGGGGCCGGGATGTCCTGTGTGTCCTCTCTCTCCTGCCGGGCAGAGGCGGAGAATGAACGTGCTTCCTGTTTTCTTCTGTCTGAACTCCCTCCTGGCTACTTCTCACGCCTGCTCTGATCCGCCCAGCCTGTTGGGAGATCTAGCATCCAGGTAAAGCCCCTCCTTCCCACCTCGGCCACGCCCAGGAGAACCAGAGGGCATTGGGGTTGGAGGGAACTTAGCAGTCATTCCAGGCTGCTGGGCGCAGGCCTGTGCTGGGACCAGAACCCTCTCCCGAGCAAACTGGGATAGAGTGCTCCTTAAAAAGTTTCACCCTGCCAGTCCATGCCACCAAGGGACAGGGGACTTAAGAGTTTAAGTTCTTTGATCTGGGGGGTGGCCCCCAAGGGCTCAGTTGAAAATGCTGGCTGTCTGAGTGTCGGGGGTGTTTTGCAGAAATGCCAAGCCTCCTGGCTGGCAGCCACGGGTGAGCACTGATTGCTGATGAAGTGTTGCTAAGGCCAGGTCTCTAGTAGATCCGTTTCCGCAGGCAGGATTCCCTGAGTAGCCAGCTGTCTCCACTTGCGCGCCAAACAGGCCTGTGCCCCAAGGCAGGATTTTGCCTCCTCTGGCCACAAGATGACACTGTTGCTTTCCAGGGGAAAAAAAACCCCAAAACTTAATCCCACCTGAGAGGTGATGTTGATTTAGTTCATTTCAGCTCAATGTAAATCAGAAAGGATTTCCTGAAGTCAGACTTGTGCCCAGCCTGGTGCTGGCTGCCGAGCCCCCAGGAAAGCATCAGAAGGACCCCTGCCAGCGACCACTCATGGTCTGGTGGCTGGGGAAAGTCTGGACTCCAGCCCCCTTCTCCTGTAAGACAATAGGGAAGATTCGACACCCTTGAACTTGCAGCTGCAAACGAAACTCACCCTTCCAAGTGAACCTGGCGAAGGGATCTTCTCTGGAAGTTAAACCAAGGAGAAGGAAATTCGGGCAGACCACTTTGTTCTGGCAGCCTTACAACACCCTGGGTTCCTGCCAAGGGGAGCACTCGGGAGGCCCTGGTGAAGCACCGGGCGGTCTGGCTTGGTGATCTGCGGAAAGTCACAGCCGTGGAAAGGGCCCCCGGCAGTTCCATTCTGTGCACGTGGGGCCACCAGGCATGAGAGCCGATGCCCACGGAGGCCCACAGGCATGCACACTACAGCTGAACCAGACCTTGACCCACATCGTGCCCCTGAGGTCCCAGGGCTTTGGGAGGGCCAGCGCTGCTACTTCATGTGCCCCAAGAGTTCAGGGAGAGGAAGTATACAACTTGCTCCCCCTGTGAGTGGCGGAGCTGAAGGAATTCGGTTCTGGGTTGCACAGCACACCTGCTGGGCTCCTTCCACATCTTCCCTCCTCCCCTCTGCACCTGGAAGGTTGAGATCAGGAATCCGTGCTGGTGCCTTTGGGGCATCTCAGCTGGGAGCCAAGGGTGAGGGTGGGGGCTCCTCCAGTGACACCCCCCCCCCAGCCTGGAGTCATCTACTGTGAGCAGGGTGAACTCTGGAGGTGGGAAGGTCCTTCATTCGGAGCTGTATCAGGGGACGAAGCTGTGGATGACGGAGCCGGGCCGAGGCCTGCCATTTACCCCCAACAGCTGTCTTTAATCTCCCTGTGCCTCCGTTTCCCCATCTGTACACACACATGAGGGATGTTGTGAGATTAAAAGAGTTACGTTATGGAAGAAGCCGCTGACCTTAAAGTCAGCAGATGGAGAGCACAATGCTCCACGGAAGAAAGACAAGGCTTTCTACCCTGTTACAGTGTAACCGTTAACAGAAACCCACCAGGGCAGTTCTACCCTGCCCTGTAGGTCGCTATGAGTGGCATCGACTCAACAGCAGTGAGTGTGTTCTGACTTTTATGAAGGGCTTGGGTGCAGTTAGCCCGGTGTGAATGCCCACCCTTGTCTGTTATCTGTCCTAAGGGCCAGCGGGAGAGGACCTGGTCCGAAGCACTGGCTGGTGGCAGCATGCCCCAGTCTTTCCCTAGCCCCCAGCCTCTAGCCCCTGTGAGGGTTGTGTGCTCAGTGTAGACAGTGTGGGCCCATCCGACTGGGATTTGACTGAGCTGACCTGACAGTGCTTCGTTGGCATGGCAGGGGCTGGAGTCACCTGAACTCCTTTCTGGGGCCCTCCAGGAAATAGCATCCCTGCTCTAGGATTGGAAGATAGGCTGGAGTGAGGGGGGGGAGGGGGGTTCCTATCAGATCATTGGAAAAGGCAGTGTCAGGGTGGCAGCAGCAGTGGAAGGTGAGCAGGGTCCTAGGACTGCTTAGGAGCCAGTGCACCCCACCCTGGCACCACCTCTCAGCCCATGGAATCCAGAGATGGCCCTGAGGACTGGTGAGTTTTCCAAGGGACTCAGATTCAGGAGAGAGAGAACGAAGCAGGGCCAGAGATTCTCCTGATTCTCCGCCCTGAGCGGCTTCCCCTGACCGGGAAACTGCCCAGACGTCACACGAACAGGTTGAGTCTCAGCTGCAGGTCTGGCTCAGGCTCACTGGGTCCTGGGTCTTTGTTTCAGCGATGTGGCCGTGGAACTGCCCTTCACCCTGATGCACCCCAAGCCCAAAGAGGAAGCCCCGCATCGGGAAGGTGAGCAGGCCCCAAGGCCACCGGGCTAGGGTTTTCAGATAGCAGACCCCCTTCCTATCCATCACCCATCTCCCTCTGGATTAGCCTTTACTAGAGAGCCCTGGGAGTGCAGTGGTTACGAGTTGGACCATTAACTGCAAGGCTAGCAGTTCGAAACCACCAGTCTCTCCTTGGGAAAAAGATGAGGCTTTCTACTCCAGTTAGAGAGCTCGGGACTGGGAAACCCACAGGGTCAGTTCTCCCCTGTCCTATAGGGCCACCAGGAGTTGGAATCAACTGGATGACAGCGAGTGAGTTTGAGACTGTCACTCATTTTCCTTAGCTCCCTGGGGGAGGGGCTTTGATGGGACCCACAATCACTATTTGCCTGTCATTCTACCAGAAGACAGAGAAGCCATGGGAGACGGAGGCTGGGTGAGGGAGCTGGGTGGCTTGGCTTTGAGCTCCAGTCTTGCTCCCTGGCATGGGGCTAGGCACTGTGTGGGCAGAAGAAGGGGCAGCAAGCACAGGCGGTCCCTGGATAGCCCCTCCCCACCATGCTCCCCTCTGTTTGGACTGACCATATTTCATTGAATCTGAGACCCTTTCAATTGAGAGACAACCTGAAATTATGGACCACCGGGAAAACACCCCCCCCCATACACAAACACACAACCCACGAAACACCATAGATCGTATACCACACCCTGAGTTCAGAGATGTTACAATGTGAAAAAGCAGTTGTCTTAGAGTTAGTGAGAGTCATTGATTTAAAAAAAATTAGTCTTAGCTAAATTGGCAGCAGGTGTCACCAGGTTTCTCTCTTTGGGGGCTTCTCCGGGAAATTCCAGTATCAACGTTTTGGGTCTCCCCCTACTGAGGCAGGGGTGTGGGTGGGTGTGGGTGGGGGGGTGATCCGGTGGATGTCCTCCCAGGTCCTCCTCCCTGCCTTTAGGGTGGTGTGATGGGCGTTGGAGACCAGGGAGAAGCACCTTCTCCCCATCTCCCTTGGTCCTCCCTATGGTCGCCTGCTTGTCCTGGGGTGGGGGCCCATGCCCACCCTCTCGCTAACCCCGGGACGTCTCTGCGCCCTGTGCTTTGTCTAGTTCCAGAGAATGAGGCGCCGGTAGATACCAATCTCATAGAACTTGACGCCAAGTAAGCCAACCCCGCCGCCTGCCTGCCTGCCTGCCTGCCTGCCTGCCTGCCTGCCTGTCTGCCTGCCTGCAGTCTGGGGGGCGGGGCTGCGGGTGGGAGGGCGGGGTGGAGGGGGGTCATTTGCATATATGCTTATTAACTGAGGGGCAGCTGGTCTAACCCACCTGCTGAGAACCGCCTCTGCCCGCCTGCCTCTTCAGCAACCCGCTTGCCTGCATGTGACTTGAAGGACCCTCGTGCCTCTTCCTCCTGCCTTGGTTGGGTCTGTCTTCCTTCCTCGTCCTTGCACGTCCGTCAGTCCGTCCACCGCGTCTCCCCGGCCCACACCCGGCTGGCTAGAAGCCCTGGGCTCCGACTCTCCTGCCCCGCCCACCTCAACCGCTGGATTCAGGCTGTGGGGTGGGGGGAGATGGGGGGGATGCTTCGTGGATTTCCCGGTGGCCAAAACTCCCCACATGGAGACAGTGGCCTGAGCGGAGGCTTCACCCTTGGCTTCAGGAGCCACCTGCAGGGCCACGTGGGTTTCTCCCTCCAGTGCCAAAGTCCCCGGTCCTCCAAGAGAGACCCCGGGGTGTGACGGTGCCCTGTGGGGTTGGCTGAATTCCATGGGGTGGAGGACTGGAGATGTCTAGGGGGGCGGGGTCCAAGTGGCACTGAGACCCCACCCAGGAACCCCCTTCCCCCACCCCACCCCCTCGGCTTCCCTATCAGATAGCTCTCCCATCCAGGATGCCACTGGGCAGAATAGGAACTCCCCCTTCCTGGGAGAAAGGACCTCGTGGTTCATCCTTCCATGAAGCCATCCCTTCCTTCTTGTCCGGGATCATGAGTGCTTCCCATGGAGCAGTGCTTGGCGGGTTGGGGAGCTTGGGCCCCAGCTGTGAAGGTGCTGGTAGCTGGCCTTTCAATGAGGACAACTTCTTCTCTGGCCCTCAGCCGTGCATGCACGCAGACCCATGCTGCTGCGCCCCCTCCCCAGAATCCCTTCCCTTCCCAGACCTCAAGCGCAGTTAGTTCAAGCACATCACTGTCGCTCCCACAACTGGTGTGCAGGCCCCACAGACCTTCCTGCCCAGGGCCAGCCCTAGCGGCCACAGGCCTGGAAGAGGGTGGCTCCCTCGTAGGCTGAAAGCGGGTGAGCCAGGCTCAGTCACGTTGGCCCAGGCCAGCCCCTACCCCCTGCCAACATACGGACTGTCCCTGCCCCTGCAAACAGCCTCCCCCACCGTTTTCCTTCTCTTCCCCCCAGCGATGACGACTTTGTGTTTGAGGACTTTGCCCGCCAAAGACTGAAAGGCATGAAAGACGACAAGGAGGAGGAGGAGGATGGGACCAGCTCTCCGCAGCTCAACGATAGATAGATAGATAGGCTGGAGCCAGGCCCTATGTGCCGGCAGCGCCGGGTCCACTCTGCACTAGGATACTTCTTTGTCTTCTTCCTGCTCTGGTCCCCCCACCCCCCCACCCCTTTGTTCTTCCAGTTTCTACCAGAGGCCTCAGTGGTCTTCCAGGTCCCCATGGTGAACCTCTGGTCTCAGGACTGGCCCCACAGCGCCATGCCACCAGGGCCACAGTGTACCCGCTTCATCCCCTACCTCCTCATGTCACTGCACCCCCACCTTTATCACACCCCTAAAAGGCCACCCGCAAGCCCAGGCCTTGGAATTTGAGTTGAGATGAGGGTCTGAAAGAGGAGGAAGGGCAGGGGGGGAAGGGGAGTCATGTGCTGAAGGGCAGAGGGTGTTGGAGGGGGGTGAGGGATACTGACAAGAGGGAGGGCACCCACATTCCTGGGTGCTCAGCACAGCGTGGCAGCTTCAAGATGAGCGCAGACAGCCGCCCCTTCCAGAATGGTTCTCTGATGGAGCCGGGCGTGTGGTTCTGCCTGGGATAGATTCCCAATACCCTTTTCTAGCCTGGACCCGGCTAAAGACCCTGCAGTCTCAGCCCCTGTTCCTGCTTCCGTGTCCCCCTGGGTCTGACAGTGGCATTAGCGAAGTCCCGTGGGCTCCGGGAACGGAGAAAAGCCACCCGGTGGGACTTTCTCACCAGCAACCATCCCGGATGTCTAGGGCAGGCTGGGAGAAGGAGCCCCAGAGAGTGACTGTGCTGTCAGGATGTAATCTTAGCCACCTTGTTCCTTACATGCGTGGACAGAAAGAAAGAGAGAGAGAGGTGGAGGTAAGGGCGGGACTTCGCCAAGTTCATAGAAAGTGGAATGCAGAGAGGAGATGTCCCGTGAATTTTGGAAGCCCGTCTCTAGGTCCCCCACAAAGGTGGAGAAATTCCATGCCAACGCATGGCATGAGGAGCTCTCTTGCAGGAGGACAGATCTGAGATGGGTATGGGGCCCCTGGGAGATGGGAGCCCAGCTTTGCTTCCCTGTGGACCTGAAGCGCCATCACCACGGAGGAAGCGAGGCTGGAGATTCCCAAGGGGGGACCAGGACCCCCGTGTCCTCGTGCTTACCCCATGGCGCTCCAGATCGAGGAGAGAGGGTCTTGGCACCCATGCCTCAGTTCGGCAGGGCGCAGGGTCCACCGAGATGCCCTCAAGGGAAGGGAAGGGGCTGTGGGTAGGGAGGAGTGCCGGCCCCATGGTCTTCATGGGCTGTCTTGGTGTGACTGGGAGCTTGGCCATTACCCAGGCAGCGGGACGGGCAGGTGATGGGGCAGGAGGTGTTAGAAAGGCATCTCTTGTCTGGCTTTTGATGCAAACTGACTGTGACCTTGAGCAAGTTCCTTTCCTTCTCTGGGTCTTGTTCCTCACCAGAAACACCAACAGGCTTGACTCTGACCGGTCAAGAGGCCTCTCCAGCTCCAGGTCCTGGTCTGTCTGTCTGCCTCCGGTGGGGGTTCCTGGAATCCTAGAGGGAACACCTTGCACGGACCTCCTCCCTCAAGCCAGAAAGGACCCTCCTTGGGTCTTCAGCTGTTATCATAGCTGGTGTGAACTGTGTTGCCCTGCATATTACAGGAGGGACAGAGCTTGAGTTTGCTGAAGGTTGGGGGAGGGGGGGCCTGTGGAGTGGACATCCTGAGCTGGATTGCCACGGCAAACATTGATCATCAGGGCCAGAGATCGCCCACCTCAATGCCCGCCCCTTTCACCTGTCTCATGCATGCCTGAAAAGACAGTACAATGGTATCACCCAAACCAGCTCTCTGTCCTTCCTGGAAGGGCCATGCCACCAGTCCCGGGGGTGGAGGGGGGAAGACCCAGTCCACGTGCTGGCCTTGCATGCCAGCCCTTCTTCTGAAATCCCATCGAGGTTCAACCCAAGGGATACCTATTCCGTGTCAGAATCAAGCCAGCTCAGGGCAGTCATGCAGCCCCCCACCGGGCCTTGCGTCCTAGGTTCATGAGCCCCAGGCATTGAGACCCTAACAGATCTTGCTAGCCAGGTTTCCCCTCATCTGGGCAGCTGTAGAGTTGGTGAACTGTCAGACCACCTCATGGAATCCATATGCTCACTCACATCAGTCTCCAAGACTTCTGGGGCTAGCACAAGACCCCTTAGGATTTGGGGTGTTCACTTAGTTCCAAACCTCTTCCCTTAGTTCCAAACACACACACACACACACACACACACACACACACACACACACACACACACACACACACACACACACACACACACGATTTTGCCTGGCTGGCTTCTGAGCTCCCTCCACCTCACTCAGACACTCGTCCTTGGGACCTTTCCCAGTGTTGTTGAAGTGCAGTTGCTCCAGCAGAAAGGAAGCACCACGGCTGTAGTTGCCCTCTCCCGCTTTGGATCCAAGACTCCACCAGGGCAAGCGGTCAAGTTCAGTTGAACCCACTGCAACCACCCTTTGCAGATGACGTCTCTGCTCTGTGCTGGCCCTGGAGAACGTGTTCGTGGGCAGGGAGATGTAGGTACCCTCTGCGTGCAGGCACCATGGCTGCGACTCATCCAGACAGTGCCTTGATGTGAATGAACAAACGGGCCCTTCCAGGTGGGTTCTGCCCCATCACTGGAATGCCAGGCCCTGTTCAGCACAACTGTAGGCCGCAGCTCTGTAGGAACGCAGGCCCAGGCATTTCCTTTGGCTTGTTCCTGAAGAGGAAGGCCCTGATGATCTTATTAGTTTTCTGGTCAGTTCTCAGTAACCCCACCCCCCCCACCCCCCAACATAACTTGAGTGCTTCTACATTCTGAAGTCCGCCTTTCCACATGAGAGCTTGGAGGGAGACTAGGGGTGAGGGAGGCCTGCTAGACCCCGGGCACAGCCCACACCCCATTGTTGGCTGTTAGGCTGCCCAGTCCGTGTCTCTGTACTAAGACATCCACGTGGGTCAGGCGCCTGGCTTGTAGACAACCAGTCTGGGCCTGCAGAACAAGTATGCCCCTGGGTGCGGATCTGCCAGGCCGAGGACCAGCTGGACTTCCTCAGCAGCCCAACCATGAGAGGCATTCGGTCCCCGGCAGATTTTGCTAGAATGCAGGGACTTCCTAAGCCTCAAAACCCAGACAGGCCGGAGTGGCCTCCCTGGCTCGTGGCTTCCACTGAAACAGTCACCCCACCGTGGTTCCTGCCCAGTGGGATGGAAAGAAGGCTGGCCTGCGAGTCCACTATGTGCTTGCTCAGCCTTGGCTGCCACCCACCAGCTCACTCAGCTCCTTGGGCTCAGTGTCCCCATCTCTGAAAGGAGACAGTAACCCCTTCCAGCCTGACTCCAGGAATTGGAGGCCCCGGTGGGCAGTGCGCTGTGCTGAAGGTGGCCCATGACTGTGCAGGCCTGGTCCTCAAGTTTTGTTTTGTTTTATTTTTGTGGGGGGTGTTGCCTAAGGTCACACAGGAAGTTTGCTGGGCGCCGTGGCCACCCAAACCAGCCCTTGCATCTCTTGTCACCCCCTTCTCACCCAAGCGGATGTCAGCCACCCTGACCCAGTGAGAGGGAAACTGGGTCTTCAGAAACTATGTGTGTGGGGGCGCGGGCCCGGCATGCAGGAGACATGGATGGGAGAGGTGTCTTGAAGCCTCCCTGTCAGGCTTGGTGTCACCCACACCACCCATCCCCCTGGCTCGGCTGAGCCCAAGACGCCTTGAATTTGACATCTGGGTAGAGAGGGTCACAAGGCCCCGGGGCAGGGAGGACAGACCCCATCACAGCTCCATCCAAGAACTCCCAGTGAGGCGGAGTCGAAAAGCCTGCTGCTTTCCTTCAGAGAACCTCCCACCCCCACCCCACCCCAATCCAGTGAGCAGGAGGTGCTAGAGCTTCCTGGTGACTCTGGGATGCCATTTCAGCCCAGGGAGAACCGGCTGAGCAGTCCTTAGACAGGCAGCTCCTCTCCTTCCAGGGGCTGGGGACTGGACACCCCTCCAGTCCACCCCGTGGAGAAGAATGTGGTTGGACCCCCATCTCGAACTCTTACAGGGTCTTTCAACAGATGTCTTCGCCCATTTCTGATGTTTTTAATCTGAACGAGGACCAAACACACACACGCACCCTCCCCGCCGCCTGTGTCCCTCCGGCCTGCGTTGGCTCCGCTGGCAGTTCGGGCCTGGTTGCTCTTGCTCTGACTGGCACTGAACGGCTTCCCGGTGGGGCAAGAGCCCTGCCTTTTACCAACCCGCCGCCTGGTCACGTCACTTTCTCTCTCCATCCCCAAAGGGAAGTCAAAGCACAAGTCCTCAGGACCCACGATCTACAGACTCTGACACCACGGGCTTTGTCACGTGCGAAGGTGGGAGTGGAGGCCGAGGGCAGCTCTCTGGCCCTCCCCCCGCTCCGACTTCTACGCTAACACTCGTGTTCGTCTGTCTTGCCTGTTAAGGGTTCGCCTTCTAACTTTCTTTTGAAGAGAGGCGGGGTCAGACCGCATTTGGGAGGTTTGATCTCAGACCAGCCAGCACAGCATGCCTCTGCTCCGAGGCGGCCCTCTTGGTTTTCCTGTGGGAATGACTCCAGCCTTCTGAGACCAAGAGTCTTTGTCTTGGAACTTGGGCCACCGACCCAGGCCCAAGCATTGGCTTGCACACACCCGCCCATGCACACGCACACACATTTGTCATGGCCTGGCTTTGATTTGGGCCTGGTGCTCAGTGGGAAGGAGTCTTGGCCTGATCACTGTGGGAACCATGGAGCAAAGGAGCGCCCGGCCGGGACTTGGGCCTGAGTCTTGTGTGAGAGCCCCGGGAAGTGCCCTTTGAGGGTAGGATTCCTCTAGGGGTTCTTGAGGCAACCCGTTCCTCTTACGTCATTCTAGCGGGA